TAGGAAGCTTGTTTTTCTTCTGGTCTAGATTTGCGGTCCTTCCAGATGTGGCATGCATTATGCATTTGCAGGGCTTCCAGATGTTGCATGTGTTACGGCAGATGGGGAAGGGGAGTAGAATTGGAAATGTGAAGCCAAGAGGCAAGACAGGCATCTATTCATCCCCTTCTGTGCTCCTAAAGAGGCCGTGCCTTAACTTGGAAAATACGACCCCACGTGCCGAGAAAATAATGAAATACCCCCTCAACTTCCAAGTCGGCAGATGACTTTGCTGATCCAACCTCCCACCCACAAGGTATCTTAAGAGACCCAGAGAGATACTGGCTTCCATCTGCTTTAATTATTTTATGATACATTTCAGAAGGAGGTTGAGATTTCTGAGAATTAGAAATGTGGTCTAGTCAGAAAGTGCTTCAAACCCAGGCAGTGGGCTCTGTGCCCACGGCTCTCTGTCTGCCCCAGAAACAGTGCCTGTTGGCATTGCACTGCCTGTGGCTGCTGAGCTGTAAGTGGTACCCAGCACGCAGAGCAGATGGCACAGATGCACCCCTCTGCGAGCTGAGGTTGTCTCCTGAGAAGAGAGAGCAGTTTTCAGCCTTGCTTTGAAGTGGACGGCTCGTTTTGCCCCTTGGGGTTTTCTCATTCACCTGCTTTGGCCCAGATTTTTAGGGCAGCTAAATCCCTGGGTGGCACAAACCTTCTGCCCTTGACTACTAACCTAAAGAGCCTTGATGGTGCAGTGGTTGACAGCTCGGCTGCTAACCAAAAGGTCAGCAGTTTAAAACCACCAGCCGTTCCTCAGAAACCCTATGAGGCAGTTCTACTCTACCCTATAGGGTCACTATGAGTCGGAATTGACTCGACGGCAATGAGTTTACTCACTTAAAGGTGGGCAGTTTGCACCTACCCAGTGGTAGCATGGAAGAAAGACCTGGTGAACTGCTTCCGTAAATATTAAAGCCAAGAAAACTCTATGAAGCAGCTCTATTGTGTAACACATTGGGTCGTCAGGAGTCGGCATCAGCTGGACGGCAACGGATATGGATTGGGGTTTTAATTTAGTAGTCCTCACTCCTGGTTGCACATTGGAATTACCTGTTGAGATTTTAAAACAAACAGGCATTAGGGATGCATCCCAGACCAAATACATCACAACTGGGGGGCATGTGGTCCAGGCATCAGGGCATTGGTGGTTCAGTGGTAGAATCCCCACCTTCCATGCGGGAGCCCCAGGTTCATTGCCAGCCGATGCACCTCATGCACAGCGACCACCCGTCTGTCAGTGGAAGCTCATGTGTTGCTGTCATGCTAAACAGGTTTCAACAGAGCTTCCAGACCAAAAAAGACTAGGAAGAAACACCTGGCAATTACTTCTGAAAAGCAGCCAGTGAAAACACCATTGTTGTTGTTTGTGCTGTCAGGTTGGTTCCAACTCATAGCAACACCATGTACGACAGAACAAAACACTGCCTGGTCCTGCGCCATCCTCACAATCATTGTTACGTTTGAGCCCATTGTTGCAGACACTGTGTCAGTCCTTCTCGTTGAGGGTCTTTCTCTCTTTTTTGCTGACCCTCTACTTTACCAAGCCTGATGTCCTTCTCCAGGGACTGGTCCTTCCTGATAACATGTCCAAAGTACATGAGACGAAGTCTCACCATCCTCACTTCCAAGGAGCATTCTGACTGTACTTCTTCCAAGACAGATTTGTTCATTCTTCTGGCGGTCCATAGTATATTCGATGTTCTTCATCAACACCATAATCCAAAGGCATCAATTCTTCAGGCTTTCCTAATTCATAGTCCAGCTTTTACATGCATATGAGGCGAATGAAAATACCATGACTTGGGTCAGATGTGTCGTAGTCTTTAAAGTGACATCTTTGCTGTTTAACACTTTAAAGAGGTCTTTTGCAGCTTATTTGCCCAATGCAATATGTCATTTGATTTCTTGACTGCTGTTTCCATGGGTGTTGATTGTGGATCCAAGTAAAATGAAATCCTTGACAACTGTAATCTTTTCTCCATTTATCATGATGTTGTTTATTGGTCCAGTTGTGAGGATTTTTGTTTTCTCTGTGTTGAGGTGTAATCCATACTGAAGGCTGTGGTCTTTGATCTTCATCAGTAAGTGCTTCAAGTCCTCTTCGCTTTCAGCAAACAAGGTTGTGTCATCTGCACATCACAGGTTGTTAATGAGTCTTCCTCCGATCCTGATGCTGTGTTCTTCTACACAGAGTTCAACTTCTCTGATTATTTGCTCATGGGCCGTGGATCATAACAACTCAGTCTGCAGCTGATCATGGGGATTGCACAGAGCCAGGCAGCATTTCGTTCCATTGTGCACGGGGTCACCATGAGTTGTGGGCTGACTCGATGGCAGCTAACAGCCACTATAGTTGAGGCATCAGCACTTTTTAAAAGCATCCCAGGGAATCCCAAAGGACAGATAAGACAGAGACTTTCTGGGCTCTCTGGAAAATTCTCTCTCTGTCCTTTCCCCTCCCTCCCTCTCATATAGACTTTTCTACAATGATTTATTTTCCTGAGAACATTCCCACTCTCATTCTAAATACAGGAAAGATTATTTAAACCTAAGGTGGTCTGTTTTCAAGCATTTTCCTAGAATTTTAGGAGCTTTGTTTTCAATATTTGCATCTATAGAGTTATCTGCAGACACGATTTGGTTTTCCCTCTGGGCCAGCTTGACTCTGGTACTTGTTGGAAGAAAGATATTATGAAATGAGTAATGAAGCTGAAGAAACATGGATGAATGATTTTCCACTTCTCCATAATCCTTATTGCCACCTGTGCCCACACAAGGGGCCATTTAGGACACCAAGTCCTTCCAGTCCATTCACTGATTTGTTCATTCATTAAATAAAGAAATACAGAGAGATCAATATTTTTAGCCCTGACAATATGCCAGGGACTTGCTTAGTGCTAAATATACACTGATAAGTAAGAAAATGTTTCTGCTTTTCAATGGGTGAAAATTAAATTTAATTGTAACATTAATTGTAACACAAGGTTTTAAATTTTTAAATGGAAATATTTGAGCTGTATCTCAAAGATTGAGTAGTAATTAGCAGGGCAAAAGAGGAACAGAGACATTCTAACTAACCAACCAGCCAGTTGCCATCACGTTGAGTCAACTCCAACTCATGGTGACCCCATGTGTGTGTGTCAGAGTAGAACTGTACTCCATAGGGTTTTTAGTGGCTGATTTTTTGGAAGTAGATCACCGGATCTTTCTCTGAGGCACTGCTGCTGGACTTGAACCTCTAACCTTTTGGTTACTAGCCGAATACTTAACCATTTGTACCACCTAGGGACTCCTGGGGCATTCTAGGCAGAGGCAGAGGGAAAAAGCTTAGAGATGAACAATGGTCTGGGCTCTTCCAGAATCAGCAAGTAGCTCATAGGGCTTGAGTTGAGTTGAGCTGAGTTGAGTTGAGCTGAGCTGAGCTGAGTTGAGTTGAGTTGCATGTTGAATTGAGTTAAATTGAGTTCCATGTTGAGTTGGGCTGAGTTCAGTTGAATTGCATGTTGAGTTGAGTTGAGCTGAGTTGCATGTTGAGTTGCATGTTAATGACTGGCTGTTGACGTAACATCACTAGATCTGCCCGTGAGCGTATTTGAAGTTTTGACTCATGATTTACAGTCTTGCTTTATCCGATCCTTCCATCAAAATCCAGCTACACCATGATTATTTTTATGTATAGTCTGTGTAGTGCCCACCTCCTTCCCTACAAGTTGATGGGGGTAGGGGTTGAGGAGGATGGGGGCTGATGAATTGCATTGCTATGATTTTTCACCCTCTTTTTCCAAAATGTTCCTCTCCCATTAATATAAACTCACTCTCTAAATTTCCTATTTAACCTTTCAAGTTTCTGATGTCAATTTGATGCCCTATAGAGTTTTCAAGGCCGTGATCTTTTGGAAGCAGATTGCCAGGCCTGTCTTCTGAAGCACCTCTGGGTGGCTTCAATCCACCAAACTTTCAGCTGGTAGTCAAGCACTTAACTGCTTACTCCATCCAGGAATTCCTTCTGGCTCTCTAGTGGAAAAAAAAAAAAATCCTGATGTGAACCATTTGCCAATTTCTGTGGGGTAAATACTCCCACTGTGGCTGATTTCAAGCTACCAATGTGTCAGCTCTGATGAGCTGTACAAGCCGGCTCCATTTCACCCTCGGGCATAGCCCTTGTTCACAGGTGACATGCTGCGTGGTATCGCCATCACAGGAAATGCCCTCGTGAAGGTGCAGACCAGTGGGAATGGGAGAACAGGAGAGGGAGCTCTGTCTCCTAAAACAGCAGGAGTGTTGAGAGGCTTTGAGATCAAAAGTCATGCTCAGGTTGGGGTAGTGTGAAGACCAAGGGATTGTATGTTAGGACTTGGACAGCGTGACACAGAGCAACCTGTGAGCATGTGGTCAAGGGAGGGGGCTGAAAGCCCTTCCTGCCCCATGTATCCTCAGTAATCTCCCCACAAGTAATCTCCTTCAATTCAAGTACCTTCCTTTTCTTGCTCTCTTCCCACTCCAGGTCAAGTAAAAAAAAATAGCACTTGCCCTCAGGTCGGCTCCAATTCATGGTGACCCCATGTGCGTCAGGGTAGAACTGTGCTCCACAGGTTTTTTGATGGCTGAGTTTTCGGAAGTGGAGCACGATGTCTTCCTTCCAAGGTGCCTCTGGGTAGACTCAAACTCCAACCTTTTGATTAGCAGCTGAGCGCATTAACCGTTTACACCACCCAGAGACTCCCCAGGTTAGGTGCAGGTCTGCAGATTTTCCAGAGAGTATTCCTCCTGTGCCACTCCCGAGAGACCAGTGCCCTTGGCACATTCTAGCACTGACTCCAGGGCTAACTTGGAGCCTCACAGCACATCACAGCTGTGGGGGGCTGAGGACTTGGGTGAGGGACAAGATGCACGGTGTGTCTCTCCATTCAGCACCTACCTGTCACTGAACTGTGCATTTGTGCCTCCTATTTTAGGTGCCAGCAGTGCTTCTGTGGGGTCCACCTGTCCAGTCTCCGGGGTACTGCCGTGGACAAATACTTCAGACAGCCGATCCTAGTGAGTGTGCGCTGTTCTTACAGGCTTTCTGCCCGTGTGTTTACATATTGACTCACACACACACACTCACTCACTTGCTCATTCATTCACTCATTCACTTACGTGTGCACACACGCACTTACTCATTCACTCACTCATTTTCTATCGTTCATTTAACTCACTCATTCACTCACTCACCCATTCACTCACTCATTCACTTACTCATTCTCTAACTCAGTTACTCGTTCACTCACTCATATATGCACACATGCACCCATTCATTCACTCACTCATTCACTCTATCACCCATTCACTCACTCACTCATTCACTTACTCATTCTTTCACTCACTCGTTCACTCACTCATTCACTCACGCACTCACTCATCCACTAACTCATTCACTCACTCACTCATTCACTTACTCATTCTCTCACTCACTCGTTCACTCACTCATTCACTCACTCACTCACTCATCCACTAACTCATTCACTCACTCACTCATCCAGTCACTCATTCACTCACTCACTCACTCGTCCACTCACTCACTGACTCACTCGTAACACTTACTCACTTGGCATATACTGTTCTTCCAGGCCGTGTGCTTAGCTGTCACCAGAAGAGAAGGAAGTAGCTCCAGGAGCACCAAGTTTTCAAGGCTTCCAGCTCTGGTTTCCCAGTCAATTAAGAAAATAGTCAGAGAAGGATATTGTTGAAAACAAGAAGATTATCTGTCTTAGTTATCTAGTGCTGCTATAACAACAATACAAGTAGATGTTTTCAACAAAGAGAAATTTATTCTCTCACAGTCCAGCAAACTACATGTCCAAATTCAGGGTGTCAGCTCCAGGGAAAGGCTTTCTCTCTCTGTCAGCTCGGGAGGGAGGTCCTTGTCATCAATCTTCCCTTGGTTTGGGAGCATCTCGGTGCAGGAACCTCAGGTCCAAAAGACGTGCTCTGCTCCGGCCCTGCTTTCTTGGTGATATGAGGTCCCCATGTCTCTCTCCTTGCTTCTCTCTTTTATATCTCAAAAGAGATTGGCTTAAGATACTATCTAATCTTGTAAATCTCATCAATATAACTGCCACTAATGCATCTTATTACATCATAGTGAATCCATCTTATCACATAGGGAAATCACATCAGATAATAAAATGGTAGACAGTCATAGAATACTGGGAATCATGACCTCGCCAAGTTGACAGATACTTTTGTGGGACGCAATTCAATCTGTGACATTATCTAACTACCTTTCAATAAGTAACTTCAAATCCCCCCATTGCCCTGCCCCACCCCATACACACACTCAGCCCTCATACATGTTCAATAATTCACACCCCCATTGATTCCAGTGGCCCAGATACAATAGAAGAGGCAGCACTGCATAATAGTTAGAGCAGGAGCTTTGCTGTCAAACAGATTTGGGTTCCAATGGTGGCCCCATATAGCTTTGTAAACTTGGGCAAGTTTTTTTTTTTTTTTTTTTTTAATTGTTGTACTTTAAGTAAAAGTTTACAATTCAAGTTAGTCTCTCATACGAAAATTTATACAGACATTGTTATGTGACCCTAATTGCTCTCCCTATACTGTAATAGCACAGTCCTCCTTTCCACCCCTGATTCCTCATGTCCATTCAGCCAGCTCCTGACCCTCTTTACCTTCTCATCTCACCTCTGGACAGAAGCTGCCTGTCTAGTCTCATGTTTCTACTTGAGCTAAGAAGCACACTCTTCATGATTATTATTTTATGTCCCGTAGTCCAGTCTAATCTTTGTCTAAAGAGTTGGCCTCAGGAATGGTTTTAGTTCTGGGTTGACAGAGGGTCCAGGGGCCGTGCTTTCTGGGGTTCCACCAGTCTCAGTCAGACCATTAAGTCTGGTCTTTTTACTAGAATTTGAGTTCTGCACCCCACCTTTCTTCTGCTCCATCCGTGACTCTCTGTTGTGTTCCCTGCCAGGGCGGTCATTGGTGGTAGCCAGGCACCATCTAGTTCTTCTGGTCTCAGGCTGATGCAGTCTCTGGTTTATGTGGCCCTCTCTGTCTCTTGGGCTAATACTTCCCTTGTGTCTTTGGTGTTCTTCATTCTCCTTTACTCCAGGTGGTTGGGACCAATTGATGCCTCTTAGATGGCCGCTTACTAGTTTTAAGACCCCAGATTCCACTCACCAAAGTAGGATGCAGAACATTTTCTTAATAAGCTTTGTTATGCTAGTTGACCTAGATGTCCCCTGAAAGCATGGTCCCCAGACCCCCACCCCTGCTACTCTGTCCCTCGAAGTGTTTAGTTGTATTCAGGAAACTTCTTAGCTTTGGTTTAGTCCAGTTGTGCTGACTTCCCCTGAGGTATGTGCCATCCTTCCCTTCGCCTAAGATAATTCTGGTCATAGTGCCTGAAAGAAGAGCTACAACTGTTTGAGTGCTCTACTGGGCACTGTGCTAAGTGTTTTACAAGCACTGGCTCATTTTCCAAGAGGGCTTTCAATAAATGTGAGTTTTGGGCCCTTTTCCTCCACTTGAAAAGACTCTGAAATGAGGACTCTACCTTGCTTGGGTCCATTTTCTTGGATGGTGATATGAATCCCTTTTGGGTGAACTTTTGCTAACATACTGACCTTTCTCCCTGAGAAGATCAATATTAGTTTGTTTGTTTGTTTTTTCTGGGTAAGAAAATTAAGACCCAACCAGGCTCTGATTTGCCTGGAGCTACTGGGGAAGCCAGGGTCACACTTTAGAAGGTGCCACTGGCTAACTCAAACTATCATCCATCTTGAGATAACAGAGGGTGCTGTGTCAGTCAGGATAGGCTCACACATGCTGCAGTAACAAAAACAAATCCTAGTGGTTTATAATAAATAACACAGGTGCCTTTGCCCCTACACTCTCTATCTATTGTGGACTGGCTTCAGCTCTGCTTGGTGTCAGCCACTCCCGTAACTAGGCTGATAGAGCAGACTATATCTGGAACAATGCTTCTCACCTAGTAAAAAGAAAGATTCCTAGGTGGCACAAATAGTTAAGCACTCAGCTAAGGGAAAGATTGGTGGTTCAAACCCACCCAGAGGCACCTCAGAAGAAAGGCCTGGTGATCTGCTTCCAAAAGATCACAGCCAATGAATACCCTGTGGAGTGCAGTTCCACTCAGCACACCTGGGCTCACCATGAGTCGGAGATGACTTGACAGCTATGAGCTGGTTGGTTTTGGTCACCTGTGTACTGAGTCATCCTCTCTCCAGGGGTCAAACCCAGCTCCAGAGGCTTCACCTGCCCTGTGGAGTTCTAGATCATCCCAGTGCAGCGGTGTGGCCTTGCAGGGTTTTGACAAGAAGCTTCTCCAGGGTGTTGCATCTCCTAGCAGGAATCACAGACTGCTGGAATCTTGCTGCCCAGCCAAGAGGGCTTACGAGAAGGAAGCCAGCCGATCATCTGTGGGTGTTCCCACTGATCTCACAAATGTGTCTAGGGTACCTGTTTGCAGAAAAATAATTCTGAGTGTTTCTTCTTTCTTATTTCTTTGCAGAGTAGAAATCCCCTTTGTGTTCCACATGGCACAGCCTGACCTCCTCATCCACGGCCTGGACTTCTGGTTTGAGGTGGCCTTCGTTGGGTCTCTGTATGTATCTTTCCCCTACTAAGCCCATCGTGCACCCATGCTATTCTCTATGATTTGTAATCACCATCTGAAAAATCTTAAAAAATCAATTTAAATAACAATACTGCCTGTTTTTCCGGTTTTCAAGAAATTGAACACTGATGTTAATGTTACACTGAGATTTTAGAGAGAAGTGAAAATGGTATCATTTTCTATAGTATTCCATCAACCCTAACTAAAATACTGTAAAAACCTCTTAAACCAATTGGATTAAATTTGGAGGCACGAGAGAGGATCTGTGCTTTTTCAACCTTCTTCTTTTCTGTGTCCCTTGGTGGTACAAACAGTTAACACGCTGGCTGCTAACCGAAAGGTTGGAGGTTATAATCTACCCAGAGGTGCCTCAGAAAAAAGGCCTGGTGATCTACTTCCAAAAAATCAGTCATTGAAAGTCCTATGGAGCACAGTTCTACTCTGACACACATGGGGTCGCCATGAGTAGGAATCGACTCTGTGGCAACTAACAACAGCGACATCCTTACCTTCAAAGGAGCCCATAAGTTAAAAAGAGTGAAAACCGCTTATCATCCTAAATCCCTAGTCCAATCCATTAATGTGGGCCTGGAGCCCAGTTGGCCTTTAACGCTTTTCTTGCCTCTCACGGTGACAGTCTGGCTGTCCACAGCCCACACAGAACTTCTGACTCACTGGTACCAGGTACGCGGCCTTCTCCAGACACCTCTCTTTGCCAAGGAAGGTGAGACACTCTCTCAGGGAAAGTACTGTTTGTAGCCAACAAATGGTAAGCAGGAAAGCAAGGACGTGATTTCCCCTCTGTTTACTGGACATACGGTGGTTCAGTGGGAGAATTCTTGCCTTCCATGTGGGAGATCCGGGTTCGATTTCTGGCCAGTGTACCTCATGTGCAGCTACCCCCCATCTGTCAGTGGAGGCTTGTGTGCTGCTATGATGCTGAACATGTTTCAGCGGAGCTTTGAGACTAAGGCAGACTAGGAAGAAAGGCCTGGTCAGACACCATCTACTTGTGAAAACCGTGAAGATCACAACAGTCCAAGCCAAAGCTGTTTCTGCGGGTGGTGCAGGACCAGGCAGCCTTTTCGTCCATTGTGCATGGGTTTGCCATGAGTTGGGGGTGGACTCAATGGCCACTAACCACAGCTGGGCATTGAGTGATGGGAGTGAGAAGAGCTGGCCAGCCCCTGAGACTCAGCCCCTAGAAATGGAGAGCAAGCTTTGCAAAGGCCCAGCTGAGTGTGCACTGCTGCCCTTAGCTACAAAACCTGCAGGATGAATTCCACTCTCTGCCTGAGTGTGCAAGGAAGAGGAGCTTCAGATAAAGTCCAGGGCAGCGTTCTCCACTGACCACGGAGGAGGGAAGGAAATCCATTAGCTCACGGGAGCTCGTGCCAAAGGCTTGAATTATCGACCCCAGAGCAGCTCCCTGGGCTTACTTACATCTGTCTAGCCGCACACCCCCAAATATAGAGCAATAGAATCGATCGGTACTGCAGGGGCCGCATGAGGTATAGGCTGTGCTGGCTGCATCCCGACGGTGATGGAGTTCTGAGGTCTCTGCAGCAATTACCTCGATTTGTCCTCATTTTTAAGATGCTCTCTTTCCCTTCACTGTGTTGAGCTCTGCCGGGTGAGATAGAGGAGGGGGGACGTGGAGTGACCCAAGCGCTCTCAGGGTGTGAAGGCCACTCAGAGGTCATCTCATTCAACTTTCTTCCTTCCCCCTCCCGCGCCGAGCCTCTGCTTGAATACCCCAGTGATGGAGAGCTGGCCACCTCTCAAATCAGTCTTCCATTTTTAAGGTCTTTATTTCTTTAATTAGGCCCCTGGGTAGCACAGAGGGTTAGCACTTGTCTACTAACTTAAAGGTTGGCAATTCAAACCCACTCAGTGACACCACGGAAGAAAGTCCTGGCAATCTGCTTCCTTAAAGTTTACAGACAAGAAGTCTGTATGGAGCAGTTCTACTCTATAACATGTGGGGTTGCCATGAGTCCAGATCTCCAGGCCTTTCTTCCAAGGCACCTCTGCGTGGACTCAAACTGTCAACCTTTCGGTTAGCAGCCAACCACATTAGCTGTTTGCACTACCCCGCGACCTACTATGTGCTAATTACTAAACTCTGTTCTCTCCTTTAATATTCACAAAAGCCTGGTGAGACAGTTATAAACTATATAGATGAGAAGAAGAGGGAACTTGGGTGCTGGAGAGGTTAACTTATTTGCCTGAGGTCACTCAAGTAGCAAAGTCACACACATATCAAGAAGAGACTGGATAAAATCAGGATATATCGGACTCCAGAATCTGGTCTCTTTTCCCAACACAAGGGTTCTGGTCTCTGCTAAGATGAAGGAATTCCCCCCACATCACCACTTCCTTTCCTTTCTCCCTTCTGTGAAGTATTGCATGCCCATGATATCTTCGACTTCTTCCTTCGAATGTGCTAGGCTAAGTTCTTAATCAGAAAGAGATTGGCAGCTTATGACTCATTAATTAAGCAGCACAAATGATTTCCGCTTGTCTCCTAACCTAAAGGTTGGCGTTTGAATCCACCCAGAAGTCCTGTGAAAGAAAAGTCCTGGCGATCTGCTTCCATTAAGATTACAGCCAAGAAGACCCTGTGGAGCAATTCCGCTCTGTAACCCATGGGGTGGCTATGACTCAGCTCCGTGGCAACTAACAGAAAACAAAACTAAACCAAAAAACCAACAGACTAAATTCTTAAAAGGAAAGGTGTCATTAGCTCAAGGCTCATCCATGCAGTTAGTCATTCCACAGCATCGATGAGTCTCTAGGGGGGATTAAGCAAGGAAGGAGACTGTAGAGTAAGACTCAGTCCTTCTTGGGAAGCTCACACACGGGGACATATAGTAACACAACAGGTAAGACAAGGGCCAGAGGGGCCCAGGGAGCCACGAGGCGAGTGTGTGAGCTAAATGCTTTGCTTCCTTCTCTCCTACTAAGGGGAACGAAGGAAGGAAGGATAGAAGAATGCGACCCACAGGAATGAGACCTAAGTCAGAAAGCATATAATGGAACATTCGGATGATTTCAATTCACTCAACGAAGAGACCTAAAATAATATAAATGTTTAGAGACAAGAGAATGTCATCTTGGTTTGCAAAAAGGAAAATTCCAGAACTCCTGGCAGATGATGACTGTTGCTCTTTCGCACTTTTTTTAGAACTGGTCATTAAGCAGATGGTTTATGAGCATTTAGGAAGAGAGCGGTAACTTCCAGATGAACGTGGTTTAAGTTAGCATTTTCCGCTTTTCCTTCTGGAAGCCATCCCAAAACAAGGAGAACAGAAAGACACCGCAGACCTCCTTGTCTGTGACACCAGGAGATAGAATCTGCAGTCTCCAAGATGTGCATAAGGGCTGCAAAAGCAGGTGAGATTGGTTGGATGCAACCGAAGGAGAACAAAGCGAGGGCAGAGAGTGGGCAGCATGGCTCAGAAAGTGCCAGCAAAAATGCATTACTTGGAGGTGAGGAGTGTTTTCCAAAATGTAAAAGGTATATTCCTGTGTGCAACATCTTGTGCGGGAACTGGAGTGAGCAGGGCTGTTGGCAGAGATGCTCCGGGACCTGGGTTTGGTTCAGAAAAGCAGAGGAAGTGGAGCTACTTACAGAGCCACAAGAGGAGCCATACCTGCAGGAAGCAGTGTGACTCTGTGGCGGCATAGAGAAATCAGCCATGGAAATCCCTATGGAGCACAGCTCTACTCCAAACACGTGGGGTAGCCATGAGTCGAAGTCCATTTGATGGCGCCTGATGTTTTTGCTTGGCTGCTAACCTAAAGGTTGGCGGTTTGAATCCACTCAGCAACACTACGAAAGAAAAGCCCCGGCGATCTGCTTCCATTAAGATAACACGCAAGAAAACCCTGTGGAACAGTTCCACTCTGTAAGACCTGGGGTCGCAATGACTCAAAATTTACTCCACAGTAAATTTTGGCTCCATTTCCTCTGTGCTTCTATTTCTTGTTCCCAATGTACATCATCAGATTTTTTTTTTGTTTGTTTGAAAAGTATAGTTTTCCTTGGTAGTTTCAACAAACCTCCAACTTCCTGAATGTCAGTGTTCTTCACTCTCTTCTTTCAGCAAGGCGCTCCCTTTTTGTGCTGACTTGGATAGGGTCGCCTCCTTCCTTATTGTCAAATAGTCCTTTAAACCCTGACCTCCTGACCCCCTGACCTCCTGGGAGGACAACCCCCCCCCCCAGTACAGCCGCCCTGCTGCGTCAATGACTGCCCATCTCCTCCCCATGAGGGCCTTTTGTGCTTGTATGGTTGGCATTTTGCTTGTGACAGCCTCCCGTCACTCTTGAGCTGCCATTCATTGTATTGCTCTGGACAATAAAATAGAAGCCATCTTTTTTCTGAACTTTGTGAAATTTCTATCCCTAGAGTACACAGAAGTGGTCTCCAAAGTTTTTTGATCACGCACACCTGTGAGTAAAAACACTTCATACATGTCCCTCTGAGAATACTAATACAAGTATCCTTAGTTTTTCGAAAGTTCACTTTACATCACTTCGCTTTTTTTTTTTTTACAAAAGACCTACATTAGTAGTATTTATCTTTTAATTATGTGAATGTACTACAATAATAATAATAATAGAAGGCCTGGGACACTAATACTATCTCTCTCTCTGTATCTATATATATATATATATATATATATATATACACATATATATTTTATCTCTATGTATTTGTCTCTCTGTATTTATATATAGATGTAGATTTCTACATATAAATGTGTGTATATATATATAGAGAGAGAAAGAGATCTCTATCTATGGAGCACAGTTCGACTCTGACATACATGGAGTCTCCGTGGGTCAGAGTCTGTTCAGTGGCAACTGGTTTGATCTTTTTGGTTATAGCTATGTGTATATATGTATACTCACACACGTATAAACACACGTGTTGTTGTTGTGTGCCATCAAGTCAATTCCAACTTAAGCAACCCTATAGGACAGAGTAGAACTGCCCCATAGGGTTTCCTAGGCTGTAATCCTTAAGGGAGCACATTGCCAGGTCTTTTCTCCCACAGAGTGGCTGATGGGTTCAAACAGTTGACCTTTTAGGTAGCAGCTGGGCGCTTAACAGTGGAGCCACTAGGGCTCCTACATATATATATATACATATATATATATACATATATATACATGCATATATGTGTGTATATATACCAAACGTGGCACAGTGGTTAAGCATTTGGCTGCTAACCAAAAGGTTGGTGGTTCAAACCCACCAGCCACTCTGAGGGAGAAAGATGTGGCAGTCCGCTTCTGTAAACATTTACAGCCTTAGAAACCCTATGGGGCAGTTCTACTCTGTCCTACAGGGTCGCTATAGGTCAGAATTGATGGCAATACGTGTATATATACGTATGTACATGTATATCTATACAGATATTTGTACATACATATATACATATATAGAAATCCATATGTATTTTATAAGACATACTTAAAAAATAGAAATAAAAAGGATGAACTGAAAAATAAATATAGGATGATTGTTGGATCTAGGTCGGACATTATCCCGTGCCGAAATGTTTTGAACCATTATTGACTATTATTGGATCCCTATGAGGGCCTGCTACACCCACGTGTGCCAGGGGATTTGGTTTGGCAAGAGTTGATGAACTTTATGGTTTTATAACTAGAAGAAATACTGACCAAAGAGTCAAAGCTTTGGAATCTTCAAGTGCTCTTCCTAACGGTCACCAATACACTGCTTT